TTTATCATCAATAAACATATTATTATACCTCTGAATCAATTGCTATTTTCCCTTTAGTCTTGTCGAAAGTACACTGTTGTGTAAATTATATAAACTTGAGTTAAACTGAGATTAAATTACTATGTAAACTTAAAAAGAATCACCACTCGAACACCCCGTCTAACTGTCGTAATTCGCAAGAATTGCACGTTAACATTATAAATATCTTAATCAATTATTTACAATTTATTTATTATTAATAATTTTATTATAATTAATATATTACAAAATTAAATCACTATTTGTTTCTATATTATTAAATTTATTGTTATATATCATTTAAATCTTCAAAATCATAGTTTATTTAAGACATTTTTACTGAAAAATTTTATAATACAAAATATAAAATTTGATAATAAAAAAATGTAATATGTAATATTTAATTAGAATCTAATTGATCTACATATTCCATGTGATTATAATTAAATTGCAATATGCAAATATCTGTAAATTAAACTTTAATTTATATTATTTATTAAAATTTTATATAAAGATCAAATTTAGACTGTTCAAATTAAGTTCTAAAAATCAAGACTAGGTCTTACTAAGATCAAAATTAAAGACTACGTCCTAAAGTTCTAGATCTGAACTTTTCCATTCCCTAGTCATAAAATTAAATCATAATCATAAAATATTTATTTCTAAATACCAAAAAATTTTTAATAATAAAAGAATAATTTCACAAAAATTAAAATTTATCATAAGGCAGAATTACAATATATTAATTATTAGGTTATTCTTAAACAGTAATATCAAGAATTAAAAATATAGATTTATAATGATATTTATAATTTTTATATTAATTAGATAATTATTAATATCTTTTTGATTAAATAAATTTATAAATACTTTAAAATAATTTAAAATAAGATTAATAAATTTAAATATAAAGTAAGAGTCAATAAAAGTATAAATGAATTACTTTAAGTAATTAAATATATGAGACCTTTGCAATAGAAAAGGGAAAATAACTTAAAAAAATAAAAAATAAGTTACTACTAATTCTGAATATATTTTGACTTAAAATTATATTTGATATATAAATATAAAATTAATTTTTTCAACAGTATTCCTTTTCTATTACAAAAATCTTATATTCTAAACAAAAATAATAATATTGTAAATTTCTAAATTTTATTATTTTAATAATATATGAGGTATAAAAATATTGATTACCTAATTAACATAATAAAAAAATAACACTTATCATTATACCTTTATTAAATTAAGTCAAAATTTTTATTTATATGTAACATATACTTAACTATCATGATATATGGGGCATGCTGCAACAAAATCAGACAAAGTGAACATTGGTATTACCAAGAATTTCAGGGATCAAAATTTAGTATGATTGTAATGTGATCAATTTTATAATGTCTCATTTGTTATCTTAAATGATATATAGAATTACCCCTATATAAAAATAATTAATATGAAACTCATTTACATCAGATCTACCATGGAACCCAAGAATTATAGCACCATTAGAAGTATTTTGAAGAAAGAATAAGGTGAAAAAATTGCTTCTTATATTTTTAAAATAAATGATACTCAGACATTGGAAGTTTATCTAAGAAAAGAAAAGATTATCTATGAAATTTACCATGAAAAAAGAAAAATAATAAATGTTGGAAAAAGAAAACATCATGATGATGCATTATTACCTAATAAAAAGCAGAAATCCTTAGAAGGAAAATAAATTTATTATTATGATATTGATTTATTTTTTTTACTAATACTAATTATTACTACAAAGAAAATTCTCATTTATGTAAATGTAATTAATAATCATTATATTGCATTGCTTATCATTAAAAAACGTTTTTGTTTGAACAAATTTTACATTCAAGAATATATTTATAAATCTTTATTTTTCTCTCATTGACATTGAAACAAGGTAAATAATCCCCGCCTTGTATTGGAACATTATAAAAATATTACCAATTCTCTGACAATTTTTTAACTTATATTTTTTATGTATTTTTCTATTATTAATTAAATTAAAATAAAAATTCTCTTTTGTCGTTTAATTCATTGTCCCATAAAAATTCCAAGTCATGTGCCTACTAATTTATCATTGGTCCAAATTATTTATAGAAAAAAAATTTTTTTTTAAAAAAATTAATTCTTACAAATTTTTTAAACTTAACAAATGGCAACCAAAGAAGAAAAAATTCAACAAGAATTAAACGATGCAAAAAGATATTACGAGGATGCAAAAAAGAAGTTAGAAAAGTTAGAAGGGTTAAATGGGGATTTGAGGAAGTTGAAGAGTAATATAAGACGTGAAACAAACGAGGAGGAAAAGAAAAATCTGGAGGAGGATAGAAAAGATTTGGAAGAGGAAAGGGATGAATTGGAGAAGGAAAGGGATAAATTGGAGAAGGATAAAGAAGATTGGAAGGTACAGGTGGTGAAGTGGGGAGAAACGTTAAGAGAGTTTAATAAAGGAGAAGGTAACGAACAAATTGTGTAAAAAAATATACAAAAAATTATTTTTCGTTCATTCCATTTCGTTAGTACTGTTTACAACCTTAACCAACTTGTTTAATGATAAAAACTATGCATCTAGATGCAATCAAACGTAAGGCCATTGAAGTTGATGAAATTGATCAAGTGGATTACTTTAAGCGACTCAAGGGTGCATCTCCTCCATCTGCTTATGCCGGAAGAGGAGATTGTGGATGGCCATCTGGACAATGTGGTAATGATCCTCTTTATCTTCTCCACCGTCCCAAAACTGCCTCTGGAAACCCATTGCAATTTATCATCCTGTATTTGAAACTTTTGTTGAAGACTGTCAAACAGCTGTTCCCACAGATGAAGTTTATAAATTCGTCTTAGAACTTACAGAAGAAATGTCGGACCCATTTCCTAATGAGGATGCACGAACAAGTGCTTTTCATCATTTGTTAGAAACAATTGGCATAAAACTTAACAAAATTATTATCACAGGTTGTACAACAGATGGTTCTGTGTTGACTAAAGATGGAAGTATGTTGATGATCAATCTTGAAGTGAAACCAGAACTAGGAGAAGGAAATGGTTGTCCGTATATTCAAGGTATTACTTTTTATGGAAAGAAAGTAGCTGATTATCTTGAAGGAAAAGAAGCATTGCGTTTACCATGTTTTGTTTTGTACTTGGCAGGTAAATATTAACAATTACCATAGTCGTATTTATACAGGTAGATTTCACTAATCCTTTCTTTGTGTTAGGGCCCTTCCTTGGGATTGCTGGCATCATTCATACTAAGAACAAAATTGTGACAGACCCTTTAGTTGGACCTTTACTATTGATGTTCCTCCAATATGATAGAGAACAGATGACACAAATTGCACGAATGTTTACTGCTCTTAAATCAGCTTACTACACACTTTGTAAATATTATGATGAGAATCTTGAAACAGGTCCACAATCACTTTGGCCATACTGTCATTCATTTTATTATCAAACAAAAAAAGTAGAATTTGAGTATATTCAGCAACTAGAAAGTACCAAACTGTTGTTTATTGTAAAAACAAAGCAAAGCGATGATAATACTGACCTTTCTCAAAGATTGCTTGTTAAATTTACAGAAATATATGGGACATCAGTGCACAAATTTTGTGCTGATCGTGGCTTTGCTCCTAAATTCTTTGGATGCCAGCAATTGTCACAACGATGAAAAATTATAGTAATGGAGTATTTAGATGACTATATCAATTTGTATAATGTAGTAAGTGCAAAGATTGATTAGGAATTGGTTACGAAAAAGACTACAGAGATTGTTAAACATATACATAATGGTGGATATGTCCATGGGGACTTGAGAAAAGAAAATATTCTTTATCAGGAAGGAAAAGATAGATTAGTGAATCTTGCATTGGTGGATTTTGATTGGGCAGATCATATTGGAAAAGCTGTGTATCCTCCCTTTTTGAACACTAAAGGCATAACCAGATATCATGAAGCTGGATCTGGTAAACTTATTGAATCAGAACATGATATATTTATGTTAAATACTATCAAGAACCATTAATTTGATCTGATCTTATATGATTAATAGTATATATAATAAATCAATTGTATCAATTCACTTTAATTTCTGTATTTTTCCTGCGCATTTCCTCTTTCTTTTTCTTTCACTATCTTGCCATTTTTTACATATTATTATATGCTAAAAGAAGCTTTTGTGTATTAGACTTGTAAATATTAAAATGTACATTTTATTCAAAGTTGAAAATTCAAGGCTCAATAAGCAAAATATTGGATTTTAGTATTTCAACAAAATTATAGATGCCATCCAAAATTAAAAATCTAAAATCCCAAATGTAGATCTGATCCCTGTACATATTCTCCTATCCAGTAATCATTCAGCATGACTGATCACTTTTATAAATTCTGGGGCTTATTGAAAACTGATCTTCAATAGGCTGTCCAAATTTAGTTTGAGTATTTGGGATGTCATAATGTAAAAGTTCAAATACTTTATCAAATTATTTGGCAATTATAACGAACAAGTAATTTTAATTGTTTTAAAAATTACAAAAATTATCTTTTATTTTATTTCAAAATAATTTCCTTAAATAATTAAATTCTATTTTGAATACAAATATAGATAATAAATAAATTAATATCTTAAACTCTATATATATTTGTATAATAGGCTTAATAGACTACCTGGGCGTACAAGATAACTTAAATATATAATAATAATATAATAATAATAATTAATTTTTCTCACCAAATATGGAAATGAAATTGATTTTCCATTTTCTACGTATTGTTACACATAATTTAGGATTTTGGTGGCATGTAATACACAAAATGCATCATTTATTACTAATGTATTAATATTAGACTTGGTTAATCATTAATAAAATTTATATATAGGGATAACTGTATATGAAAAGTAATAACAAGTACAATGGTTCTAATGAATATGAAAAAGCAATTGATTTTTTGGAAAAAGGTTGTAAATGTGGTTGCTCTTTGAGAATTCCTAAGGAAGAATTTGCAGAATTAAGAGAATCCTTTCAAGCTCTTTCCAAATCTGAGCAAGACATATTTTTAATGGCCCAACTTAAGGCAATGAATGGTGGATCAATAAGCACTAGCAGACGTCTTAAAAAGATAACTAGATCTAATAAAAGGACTTTCTATTACTGGGATCATAATGCATTACTTTGTCAAGAAACTTATCTCAATATGTTGGGAATTGGTAGGACTTATTTTGAAAATATTAGAAATCATCTGATAAATAATGGTCTTCTGCCAAGAATTCATGGCAATATTAAAAGAATGCCTCAATGGAAAACTAAGATGGTGATTGATAAAAATGTTGCAGAAGTAGTAAAGAATTTTCTAGAAAATTATGCAGAAGTTCATGGATTACCAAG